GACACATGTCACAATCTAAATTAACAATTATATGTGTCGCGATCTGGTGAGTTACAATTTTAGTTATGTGTTAAGCTCTCATCGTGCGCATTCTCTTTTATATAATAGGATGATATGTCTTGATGCTCTCTGGTTGCTTTTAGCTTAAATTTATATTCCTCCAATGAGAAGACAAACATCAGAGTGCCATATAGTACTAAGAAATGTTTTGGCTTAATAATGAGAGATTTAGCCTACAAAACATGTTCTTGTGACCACAAAAACATTCTCTTGAAAATTATAAGAACCGCACCTTATTTGGTTATAATATATTGCTTTCGTCATCGAATTAGTCAATTAATCTTTCCTTTTCAAGAATCTTTGCTTTGCCTTACTTTTCTAAAAACGGGATAAGAAGATTGGTTGATTTTTAAAAACCTAAGTAAACTTGAACAACTACTTTTCTCTTAGACCACTCTTTTTGTAAGAATTTCATGCGTTTGTGCGTGCATGCATAAATTTTTAATTTTTTTTTTTATATATAAAACGTAAAGCATGGATATATAGTGTTCTAGTTAACTTAAAATCTGAATGTATTGGTATTGAGTTCTAAATGAGTGAGCAGAGAAACGTCACAAGCCGAATGCATAGATAGATATAAGATATTCTCATATTTTATTTTCTATTATTATTGATCGAATTTTGAGGCTTCTATATGAATTATCTTAGAATTGTAAATATTTCTCTCATGCAATTAATTAGTGGAAAAAAACCCTATACAAAAGGGTATATCCTTCTCTTTTTTTTTAATCAATTTTATACGTTTTAAGAGTTCATTGATTTCACCTGAAATCATAACATATAGTATTGAAATGTTAAAAAAAAATATATACTACTACATGATATTTGTTTGAAATATATACAACCCAAAGTTATGCATTAACCACAAGAAGGGTTGAGTTGAGATAAGAAAAAAAAACAGCACCTTTTCGAGGATATTCAGGTGTTCTTGGTTTATTTTTTTTAAAATTGAGTGGTAATACAATGTACAAATTCCAAATCTTGGGAAGATCTCGTCGACGACATCTGCGCATTTCTTACGCTTCTTCTGCTCCTTTGTTTTGGACATTGTTTAACTTCTCTGATTCCTCTCCACTCACTCACTCAATATATTTTTGTTGTACTTATTAATTATTATAAGAAC